AGGGGGATTGAGAAAAAACAGTCTCTAAGATCTATGGCATAGACTGGCCAGGACCGAGGGATGGCTGAGAGGGCTGGTAGTCCCCTCTGGATCGCCCCCAGGGGCTGTATCTGTGAGTTGACAGCCCTCAGATCATGGAGCAGCCTCCACTTGCCTGATTTTTTCCTGATAACAAAGACAGGGGTATTTCAAGGGGAGGTTGACGGCTTTACGTGTCCCGCCTGAAACTGGGTTTTGACTATCTCAGTTAATGCTAAAAGCTTCTCCTTGGGTAAGGGCCACTGAGGCACCCAAACTGGATTTTGAGATTTCCAGGTGATCTTAATTGGAGCGGGCAGGAGAAGTTTCTCAGTGACCCCTAGGAAAAACCCAACCCGTGTCTACCTTTCCTTTTTTCTACAGGTACGGGGGATGTCCGGCCCTGCAGGGCTGCGCCCAGGCCCTTGCCGGGGACATATCCCTGATTTTTGAGTATCCCTTTGGCTTGGGGAGAGCAGGTGGATGTAAGAGTGACATCCATCTGGGTGAGAACGTCTCTTCCCCACAAGGATATTGGCAGCTGCAAGACAAAAGGTTGAAAATGTCCTCGGTGACCTTCCTCATCACCCCAAGGCAGGGTCACGGCACTAACCTGGGGGGCAGCCACTATCCCCAATCCTTGGAGTGTGTTGTCAGCTGTGTTGGTAGGCCAACTAGGGGGCCAGTCTTTCTTGGAGACGATGGAACGGTCTGCCCCTGTATCTAGGAGTCCTGTTATCTTTTTTCCGTTAATCCTGAGCGATAGCATGGGCCTTTTATCAAGAGTCATATGAAGCCCTTCAAAAATTTCCTTAGAGGAGCCAAGTCCCTGACCCCCTCTAACCCGTTGACCGGACCGGGGTCTCTCATGGAGACTGGGGAACAGTAAAAGTTGTGCTATCTTATCCCCTTCATCAATTACTATGGTCCCTATATGAGATTGTACCATGATTTTGATGTTTTCTAAATAATCTGGGTCTACAACTCCAGGGATCACGGTAAGGCCCCGGAGGGCTGTGGAGGACTGTCCAATCACTAAACCAACTAGCTTGTCGGGTAGTGGTCCTTTGGAGGTGGTTTCAACCACCTGAACGCCCATATCGGGTGTTAATAGGAGTCTGGAGGCGACACAGAGGTCCACGCCTGCTGGCCCGGGGGTGGCCCCTGTGGGGGGGTGCCATCTTGTGTTGTCCTGTCTAGGGAGTGGGGGCCCGTCCGTAAGGAGGGCCCCCTCTGGCCGTTTTTTGGCTCCGTAGTCTCCCTGTCACTAATACGGTTCCCCTGGGCATCAAAAATAGATCTGCAATCTTTTGCTTTGTGAGAACCTTTACCGCACCTTTCGCAGGTTCCCGTTCGTCTGTCTGATTCCTGTCTCTTGGATATAAACTCCCCCTGTCCGGTCTTGGGGCAGTTTTTTCTTATATGGCTGGGATCCCCACACTGGAAACATCCCCTGGGCTTACCAGGGTGATTGGTCTTCTGAGGCCCTGTCTGTTGTAAGGCGGCGGCTAAAAGGGCAGCCACGCCTGAGTTGGATAATGGCCCCCCTATTTCTCTACAAATTTTAATCCACGCCTCTATGTTTTTACCTTTATGGGGTGCTATGGCTGCCCTGCAGTCCTTGGTGCACTGTTCGAAGATTAACTGTTTAATAAGAGGAGCAGCAGCACTCGGATCTGAAAAGAGTCTGTCAGCTGCCTCCTGCATTCTGGCCACAAAATCCACAAAAGGTTCTGTGTTGCCCTGAACAATTTTAGAGAGGCATTGTGAGGCCACCCCTGTGTTGTTTACCTGCTTCCAGGCGCGGATGCCTATGTTATGTATCTGTTCATACACATTTGGAGGGAATCTAGTTTGATCTTGAGCGTACTGACCCTTACCCATAAGCATATCCTCATTTTGCCCCCTATGGCCCCTAGCCGCATTTTTTTCAGCCTGTTCGGCGGCAAACTCAGTATACCAGGCGCGCCAATCCAGAAAAGCCCCGGGGGCCAGGCAGGCTTTAGCCAGTTGGGTCCAATCACTGGGCGTCAGAAAGCCACCGGCAGACAAATTCTCCAACATAGTTATAGTGTAAGGAGCAGTAGGGCCAAATGTGGCAACCGCATTTTTAAGCTCCTTAATTTGTTTGATCTCCAGTGGTTCCCAGTAATTGGGTCCTTGGCCTTGCGCTAGGAGCACCGGATAAAGCCCACATTGTTCATACTCATTCGCCCCTTGAGGAATCTGTTCCATTCTAAATGTCCATCTACGAAAATACCTTCCCTGGGACCTTGGCATTTTTTCACAGGGTGGTGCCTCCCCATGAGATGTCTGTCCCTCCCTATCACAAAATTGTATCTTTTTGTAACATGGCCGACCAGTCTTTGGGGCACAAGATGGCGGGTCGCCAGGCAGACAAGATGGTGGCCCTACATGTGACAACGGTCCAGGCCACTCCCTCCATGGGGGGGGTGACGGAGGATGGCCCCAGGCCGCCATCTCACCACAGGAACCGGTGTTTGGGACCTCCCAGGGTGGCGCGGAAGGCTCTACGGCTTTCCGTTGGGGAGTGCTCAGGAGTTTCCTTCCCTTCTCTAGGTCTGTCTGCATCTTGACTAGGTCTCTACGTAAAGCTGCAAAGGGATTAGGGGGGTCACTTGCCTCATTGTCCTCGCCTTCCGAGGTATCTGAGCCCGAGGAATCCGAGGCAGGGGGTACCTCTCTCTTGCCTCGCTCTCGCGAGCGCCTCCGCACGCTCCCTGCGACGGACCCCTCTCGGGAGGACTCCGAACGGGCCCCTTCAAAAGCTCGGCGGGCCTGAGAGAGCCCATCTGCGCTATCCTTAGCCCCATTCCTCTCCCCTTTGAGGCATGAATGAATCATCTCCCAGAGCGGCCGAACCGAAAGTGGGAGTCGGCGCTCCTCTTCTGCTCTTTCTAAATCCTTACCTAATTTCTCCCAGCAAGGTAGGGACAAGTGCCCCGTCGGCAGGAACCAGGGTGCCGCCTCATCTACTTGTTGGAGAAACTCCGTAAGTGTCTTGGAGCTCATTGATATACCTGAAATCTTGAGCAGGTCTTTCACCGCTCTTACCAGTGACTTGGAACTCTTAGTGGGTAAGTTGCCCATGCCTGTCACTGAGGAGTCCGTTCTCACCGTGTGAGGCTAACCTGCCACATACACGTGAGCTTGAGGGGAGTCTAAAAAGCCCTGTAGGTGCGCGCCACCCAGAGCCCAGGTTTATCCCCTACTCACCTGTCCTGCAGAGCAATACTGGAGCGTCGTCCGCCTCGCCTCGGGGGTGATCAGTTCCCCGTACGGGCCACCAAATGTCGGTGTCGATCCCGGCCGGCAGGAAAAAACACACGACACGAGTAGTCGGCGGATAGCCTCTGATTTATTTTCTCTCTCCGTACGCCCTGTTCCGGGATCTCGGATCCCGCCTGAGGGAAGCCTCCTCTGGTCCGTTCCCTACGGCTCCTTGTGTGTTTCTCTCAGCAGTCCCTCTTCTTGGTGTGTGTTCTCGCCCCAGGGGTGGTGTCAGCATATATATGGACACATCGACCAATCACATCAAAGTAGGCAAGACGAGCTGATTGGCCAGCGTCAGCTGTTGCTGGGCAGACTAGCTTACAGGGCGTGTTGTTTACTAGCTAGGGAGCAGGAAATGGGCGCCATCTTGGCATACTCGATGGGAGGGGTAATCTAGCTCAGGCTTCACTCCTCACCACAGGCCTCATATCACTCGGTCGACGGGAGGGGCAATCTAGCTCAGGCTTCACTCCTCACCACAGGCCTCATATCACTCGGTCGAGCTCCCAACAGTGATAGGTATTGTTTTTTCTGTCCCCTTCCCCACCCACCTTTTTTAAACAGATGAAGAAACTGGTAACAAACCCAAGGTCAGGCAACTGGTTAATTCTGACTCTAGAAGTGCTTTCAGCCACTCCCCTGTGAATGTATAAAGAGCTTAGCTAGACTTTGGTCAAGGGCAACTCTATTGGTACTTCCATTTATTTTCCCTAGGTAACCAGTCCCCCTCCCTGTTTCTGCTGGAGAGATGCTTTTAGTTCTATAAATGTTTCAACTCTAATTAAGGCTTTGTTTGTCTATATATCTTTCTATTGCATTTTCTGTTGTTTTTAAATGTCTATGGTAGGCCTCTGTGATCTTAACTCATTGATACACAGACAGGATTTATGGGCTGTGGCCACTGCCCCCTGAAAATGTGTCATTTCCTATTCATGTGTGAAAGCACATAATTCTTGGGGAAAGAATCCATAACTTCCTTCAGATTCTAAAAGGGTCACCCATGATGGAAAGAAAGGGTAGTAATGAGTCTTTGTGTTTTGTAATCTCAATTTACAAATGAGACAAACAGATCCAGTGGAGAGGGAGAATAGATGAATCTGTACTATACAGCTAATTAGAGGCAGATAGGAGACTCATTTAGGTCTCCTGTCTTTGAGTCTCATGTTCTTTCCCTTTACACCCCAGTGTGGGAGGGGGGAGATATTCTCCACCCTAGGGAAGGATCTGTCCTCTGGGTTTCCAGTTATGTTTTCTGTTACTCATTCTAAAAGTTGTTCAAGTCTCCACTCTCCAGGGCAGAAGTTGTATGTAGCAAGAAAATTGCTTAATTCAGAAGAAACATCTTAGATCAGTGGTGGTGAACCTGTGGCACGTACACCCCTACCAGCTGTTTGTTATCATTGAAAGCTCTAAAAAGTTTACCACCACATCCTAGATTATGTGATCTTCAAGTACTTAAAAAAAAAAAAAAGTCAGCATTAAGCACCCAGCTTAATTTTGTTTTCTGGGTATGGTGCAAAACTAATTTTGAACCCTTTGAATGGCTAAACGAGGCCTTCTGGGTTGATAGTCTGGATCTTGTTTTTCAGCTAAAAAAGGTATGTATTGTCTTACATTCAGGTAATCTGACTGGTTAACAGTGGAACTTGTAATGACCTGAATCCTTGATGTTTTCCTCTCTAATGCAGGCTGGATCCCGTAGGACGATAAGAAAAGGAGATCTTCTGCCTTATTCTACCTTCTGCAGGTAGGAAGTTTCTGACAGATTTCTCATAGCTGTCAGGTTGCCCTCCCTTAGGAAGCCCTGGATTCCTAAGGCTGGAGGAATAGAAAGAGGGTGAGGGGAATAAAAGGAGACACAAAATGACAAAAACAGATTTTTCCTAGGACCAGTCCTGTGTCTAAGGAGTATGACATAGCTTTCTGACTTGTTTCCAGGAACATTTTATGTTTGCTTGGCATGATGACATGTTTTAGGAAAGAGATAAGGACAACTATTCAATGCTCATCATGTATGACACACTGCTCTGGGCACTTTGATTTGCCCTATCTCATTTTATCCTATGAAACAGGAAATATTACATCCATTTTTTATGGTACAGAGAAATTATATGATTGAACCAATGAAGGAGACAGAACGTGTGTGCAGCTGGCCTTCGCCTTTACATCCTTGTAGCACGTGTCTCGTGTGCAGTATGATTCAGCCTGGCCGTCTGTTAAGTACAGCTCGAGCTGCTTGTGTGTTGTGTGCTTTTACCATTTTTTTCATCAGCATGGCTTCTTTCTCTAGTTCATTCACCATTTCTTCTGCCCCCTGCTCCTCAATTCAGTTCTGAGTGTGCACACTCAGAAGAGCTACTTGGAACCATGAACCCAAGGCTGAATGTTTCTTATTAATGTATTGCTGTGTGTTTTAGGTATTGCTAGTTATGAGATCCCCCTGCCCCCCGCCGTGTTAGTGGGATGATAATTGTAAGGACACTGAGGCCACTCAAAGGAAACTGCTTGCAACTGGAAAGTCAGCTTCTGGAGTTCTTTCCCTGATCTCCCAAGGTCTGTGAGGTCCCCTTCCGAGATTTCTCTACCAGCATACGCCTCACATGGCAGGCCTGACTCTTGACCGCACAGAACTTTCCATTCAATGTTCATCAGCCTTTTCAAATTTTTGCCATTGTGATTCTGAGCTTCTCAGATCTCTGCTTGTCTGGCTATTTTTGCTCCTTGCCTTCTTTGCCCTGCCTCCCAGTTTTAGCTCTTTCCTGGCTACCTCCAGTTTTAGCTCTTCATAGACTGTCTTGGGTCCTCTTCCTTTTCTCCATATCCTTCCCCAGATCTGTGATTTTCAAATGTGTGCGTGTGTGTGTTTGTGTACATGCTGACGCTCGTGTGTAAGATACTACAGATTCAACCTAGGGCCTTTGCATGAGTTACATTCTCCAACCTTTCCCCACTCCCTTGCTGTCTTCCTGCCTCGGCCTTCCAGAGCACTGGGATTATAGGTGTGCGTTACTGTGTTTGGCTGATTTTTCGAACTTTTTTTTTTTGCAGAGAATTACTGGGGAAACCTGGTAAAGCTGATTTTTAGGCATCATTATGCTAATCTAGTAGGTCTAGGCAGAGACCTGCAACTCTGTCACATTCCTGGGTGATCCAGAGGCCATGACAGACATTGGACAAGCTGGGTTTCTTTATTTCCTTGGCCTTAAGTATTGCTGATAAACCACTAACTCCCTCATACTGATGTCAAGCTCTCTTGAGACCTCCACATTTAGACATCTAACATTGAATTTGCCTGTGGCTTCTTGGATGTGTCACAGGCATCTCAGTTTAATTTGCCTAAAAATGTTAATCCTCCTCTCCCCAGTGTTACAGAGCATGGAACTTGACAGTGTAGGGCCCCTCTGTAAGAAAGAAGAGAGTTAAGAATTGTCTTAGTTAATTTTCTTGTTTCTGAAAAAATACCCAACATCCAAAGTTAAATAGAGAAAGGTTTATTTAGTTCAAAGTTTGCAGAGGTTTCAGTCCGTGGTTGGCTGCCTCCAAGGCACAGTGGCTCATGATAGAGGGGCAACTGTTCATGATGGTAGAAGATACCAGAAACATCAAGAGAAAAGGGGGGAGCCAAGCCTCTTTCTGCCCCTTTTATCTTACCTAGACTATGGGATTAGGGTGGCACAAATCCAATCAATGCACTGACCTAAAAAATCACCCACTTTTAATCCCAGGACCCGTAATCCTAGCATCAAACCATGAATCAGTCACAAACTTTAGATTTGGCTACCTCCAAAAGAGCCCCATCTAAAAGTGCATGAGGCTTTGGGGGGACATCTAGATGTAAACCGTAACAAGAATATAAAACAGGATATGGGAAATGGAAAGGGACTGTATAGATTCGGTCTCAGGACTGAGCTTTAGTTCACTCATTCATCCAAGCTCCCTCTTTCCCCCAGCCATCTCTTGGGGCTCCCCAACCTGAGTAGTGTCCATTATCCATTCATCCAGGACAGAGACTAGCAGCCATGTCTCATCTTCACCTCATATCTGAACCACCTCATGGTCTTGGTTGCTTCTCTGATACTGTGTCCCTTTCTCTCAGGCAGCTGTCACATATTGTCATATTGCTTCTGATGATTGTCTTATTCCCCCATTTTCCTCTCTAATTGAGTTTCTGAAAGACAGCCAGAATAACTTGTTTTTTAGGGGGTACTGGGGATTAAACCAGGATCTTTTCCCTGAACTACACTATCTGTTTTTTAAATTAATTAATTAATTAATTAGACTCTCACTAAGATACTGAATTGCCCAGACTGGCTCAAACTTGAGATCCTTTTGCCTCAGCCTCCCAGAGTGCTGGGATATAGGTGTGTACCACCACACCTGGCTATAGTAATCTTTTAAAGTATATGAAGTGGAGCATTTTTCTCCCTCTTTATAGATAGCTAATTTCCCCCCATCCTTATAAATAGCTAAGCCTTGTGGCAAGGTCAGGGATGTTGATGGTTGGGAGTAGGTCAAACTCAGATCACATTGCCATGCTGGACTGTCTGGGGACCAGTCTCAGTGAAGTGGGAAGTGTCAGGGGAGACATACCAGAATTATCACTGCACTGATTTCAGTTCCAGTTTATGGTCTTTTCCTGAAAGAACTTGGATGTTATGTAAGACCTATCAGTGAATGTAAAATGAGGGTGTGTAGTGTTTAAATGTTAAATAGTAAAATCAGACTATGTTCGATTATTTTGGGGGAAGAAAGACATACTCTGTTTTAACACAGGGGAGCCTGGAGGCTCATGGCCAGGGGAAATCCTGGACCCTGGCCAGGTCATCTCCTGATTCCCTGGGAGTGTGGGTTATGTTCTTCTTGCTTACCTATGGACCCAGAATCAGCCCCTTCTGTCACTGTTGGGGAAGTTCCCCTCTGCCCCCAAACCATGGGTTTTGTTAGTTCAGTAGACTTGACTGGATTAATGGAGCAGCCACTTGTGGGCATCGTGGGTCCCTTCCTCCCTTCCTCCTTGCCTTTCCAAGAGATCCAGTCTTTCCTCTTTATAACTATGGGTGGTTGGAGCTGGGGATTTAGCTCAGTGGCATAAGCGCCTGCCTTACAAGCAAGCAGTTGTGAATTCGATCCCTGGTACCAAGAAAAAGGAAAAAGACAAAAAAAAAACCCCAAAAAACAACAACAACAAAAAAAACAAAAAAACCCCACACAAACTATGGATGGTGCCAGTTCTTCTTTTATGCACATAAACCCCATTGACCAAAGTATAAGGCAAAGTATAAGGGCTTTGTATGTAGGGAACCAATTTTCATAGCCTGGTGTAGGATGGTGTCACCTTAGCTTTGGGTAGTGTAATCTTAGAGTAAAAGATGGAGGCTTCATCTGCTTGTCTTGCAGTGATCAGACCTTGCGAGATGGAGGTCTTTCTGCCCAACCCATGGGCAGTTCCTGTGTGGGGAAGTCATGTCATGATTTCCAATGACACACTGACCTACTGCTCACTTTCTAGTCAGCAAATGTTCCTGAAAAACTGGCCCCTGTTTTGCAAATTCAGCCAAACTCAGTCTGTAGACAGACCCATGTCAGATGCCTTTAGATGACAGTCAGTACTTCTGCAGATAAAATTAAGAAATAACTTTGATCCAGGGATGCTGGTACATGCTTATAAACCTAGCACTCAGGGAGGTTGAAGCAGAAGGATCATGGATTCAAGCCCAGTTTGGGAACTTAGTGAGATTCCATCTCAAAAACTACAAAAGGCCAGGGGATGTAACTCAGTACAAAGGTCCTGTGTTTAATCTCTAGTACAACAAAAAACAAAATGAAACAGATTAGACTTTGCCATTTCACCCACTTTCAAAGGACTTTTTTCGTCTTACCTCAGGCTTCCTGAATTCAGGCCAGGTATTGGATGTCCATGGAATATCAGCTGATCTTTCAGGGAGTGGCTTGGTGTGTAACTCATATGGGCAGGCTGAGTGTCAGAGCATGTAGACTGAAAGCATTCTGGTCCCTAAACGTTATTATCCAATTTGTCAAAGAAGATGCTTGAGAAAAAAAAAATTTTTTTAAACGAGTAAATGCTCCATGGTCACGAGGAAGGCACCTCAGCACTTTTTGCCTCTAAGGTCTTGGAAAAGTCCTATGATGACCATAGCTGACTTAATGAGTGCTGGACACACATCTCCATGTTGCTCCTTTGAGTTTTACAGTAGATCCATAAAGTAGGCAGTTACCTCCTTTTTATAGAGGAGGAGGCTGAGACACAGGGAGATTAAACAGCTTCCTTTGCTAAAGGGCAGAATGTGAATGCCTGGCCAGGCGATGTGGCCTTGACTAGCTCTGCTGTGTCTCCCATTCATGTGAACTCTTCTGTGCAGTGTAGGCAGAGCTGCTTGCCCACAGGGGAAATCTGTCTGCCCCTGAAATGACTTGCTAGTTCTCTGTGTTTGGATCAGTGTCCCTTTGGGTGTATTTTTACTGAACCAGCAGATTGCATATAATTTTTTTGTGCTTTCATTCTTAAAAAGAAATTGAAACTTTATCCAGCTGCTGATCTTTGACACGCTGGAAAGATGGGGATTTCCCATGTGTCCCAGTGCTTTTCTTTTTAAAAAGTGTTTTCTCAGTTTAAAAGTGGATCATTGATTGATTTTTTTCCAGTCCAGTGAACATACCTGTACTTTTTCTTACCTCAGCCACCCAGAGAACTGAGTGGATGACCTATGCCATCCTGCTGTGTTCCTA